CCACATCATTTTAAATTAAACGGGCTTGTGAAGATTCGCTTAGTAAAAAAACACTTAATAATATGTAACTTTACCTCCAAAGCTGAGTTGTGCCTCAATATATTACTCGTTTTATATATGCATATAGATATATGAATACTACGCACCTAGGATGAAACCAATAAATGTTCGAATAAACGAAGGATAGAAATATTTAATTATAAGTAGATCATAAATGGGCATTCATTGTCCTCATAAATCACTTAAAATAGATATTAAAAATGGTAACTAAGGTATTCATGGATCTATATATGGCATCTTATTAGTACCTTAGTAGCTCAGCATGAAGAAATCTAGATACAGGTTTTGAAATACTTGCCAAAATGGTTTTAGGATAAATAACAAGACATAATAATGATAATCGACAGGCTGTTTAATTAAAAAAATATGATTTAATAAATAGAATATGATCTAGCAAATATTACAAGATAGGAGTACAAAATTTTTTGCAGAATTTTACAAAAGAATTATGGGTTGTTTGTATGCAATTTGCATAAACAGATACAAAGTGTACTCAAAATAATACATATTTTGTTTCCAAGCCCAATTTTACGTAAGCAATAAAAAAAATAAAGATAAGGAAAATAGCATGTAAACAAGCAGTTATAAACAATAAAGATCGAATAAACAATTTACCGTTTCAGAAAATAAAAATGTTAGCTAGGAAAATATTTAAAGAATATAAAAAACTAAAGCATTTGATGACGTAAAGTAGAATATTGATATATTGGAATTTAAAATTGCAATTGCATTAAAAAGTTTATAAAATGTAAGGCCATTAAAATAAGATAGCTGCGCGCAAATTCAAAATCTGAACTATACAATTAATAAAAAGACAAGCAAAATTACCTCTAACGTTGGAAACAAAGTATGAAGGCACAGTTTGACCAGCAGCGACACCAGATCCATAGAATGCGTTGGTATTACTAGCATTATTAAGGCTTTTGTGTTCACGTAAAAGTCGATAAATTCCACAAAGTGCACAGAACCGTGGTTTTGAGTTATTAATGACGCCAGAGCCAGTACTTAAATGCATTCCCGGTATGGTCGTTCGACCGGTAAATATATTGCAGTTAGAGGAATTTGAGTGACGATCACTTAGATATGCCAAAAGTGGACCAGTGGCCATTAAGCATTGTAAAACAGAGTTTATATAGCATGTATTTCCAGAGTTACTAAAGCCAAGTGCCCTTGTAGGAATACATTGTATTCCCATTTGACACCATGATGCTAACTCAGCCTCAGTACAAAGTAGACGCTCATGGGCCGAGGAGGATGGTGCAAGTAATTTGGATTCATCGGCTTTGGATTCACCATCTAAAAACATATTTAATATTTAAATTTGGTTACTATTATTTATATAAAAAACAGATAAAAATAAAATAAGACACACTTAGCAAGCTGCACTTATTTGAACAATTATTAAATATTAGGGCTCCCGGAATATCAAGCATTCGCCTTTTTATTATGCTGTCTATTGGTTGAACCAAAGAACGATGAAAAGGAACCGGTTGATCAGGAAGTACTTTTGAGAAGTTTAAAACATTCCTGTGAGAGGAATCTGAAGAAAGTACACGTGAACCTGACGACTTCAGTGAGTGAAGGATAGCATCATTTAAGTTTACTGAATTAATTTGGCTAGAAGGGTCACAGACGGACTTGGGATTCGACAGGGTAGAAAATTTGCCGTTGAGCGTAACGGACGTCATTACTGTCTTTTTTGATGCAGGTACGGCATTAGGATATACTGAAGACACAGGTGATAAAGGCTTTTGATTATTAGCCAAATGAGAGACGTTATCTGACCGGCTAAGAGAACTCTTTTGAGGAGAGAGATGGTAAAGTACATTTGCAGAAAGTGCGGCAGTCGAAGTCATCATACATAAATAAGGAAAAATGCAAAAACACAAGGACAAGAAGGAATAAATAGAAAAACATCAAAAGAATGAAGAAATAAACCAAGGCGTGGTTAGCAGACGCCAGAGCCCGTAAAACGCGCCTAGCTGATGGCTAAAGATAGAAAAAACAAAACAATAAAAATCCTAAATCAATAAAA